CTTGGACACCTTGAAGTCTTTGCACATCGCTACCTGCCACTCCCCACTCGCGTTGTCCTGTTGAATGGGTATTATTGCTCTGGATGGACGTAGAAGATTGGCCTCTTTCCTCGCTCTTTCCCAGAAGTCGTTGTGACCCTGGTACTGCAGGTCTTGCACCACCACCGTGCGACGACGCATCTCCTCGTTGAGCTCACTAGGCCTTTCGCATTGCGCCTGGAGGGACTCCACCTCAATGCCCAAGTGAGCTAGTGAGTATTCTTTTTGGCTCAGGTCTGGTTGTGATTGGCCCTCACTCTGGTTGCTGCGTGGTGCGGTGGTTTTGCAGGTGGGCAGCTTGACTCTTTGGAGGTGGAGTTTTTCCTTCCCAATGTTGTTGTTTTCCTCCACTTCCATGCTTGTGTCCTCCTTTGCTGCACATTATTTCTCTGCATAAAAGGCTGCCAACTCTCCTTCTCTTTCCAAGGGAGCAAAGAGGTTCTCTGAAAGTGGGATGACCCGCATGGGGTTCGCTGCATCTGCCCTTTGTTTGTTTTTTTGCTCTTCCTTGTACAAGATCATTTGGAGTTCATACTTCTCTTGTCTTTTCTTCTCAAAGTTCTGGATGAATTCCACCAGTTCACTTTCTTGGCGGACGGGACATACCACTCTTCCTGATCCTCTTCCGAGTCCGGTGCGTCCCTGTCCTGCTGTCCCTCGTGGTGTTTCCTCTTTTCTCCCACTGTGGGGTCCCTGGTCGTTGATCCCTCCATGAGATCCAATTCTGGCATCCCTTCTACCTGCTGTCCAACTTCTTTCGTTGTTTCCTGGTCCTGTGTCTGGGAGGTTTTTGCTTGGCCTTTTAACGTTCGTCTTGTGTACGTCTTTTGCTCTCCATTGTTCTCCGTCTCTTTTTCCCATTCTCTCTTTTGCTTGACCACTTCTACCCATTTTATTTCTTCCTTTTCCTACACGGACTGCAAATCCGCACACAAGTCTCGCTCCCAAATCTCTTGCTTGAGGTTTTCCACGTTTATTGTTGGATCCTTGGTGAAACACGTGGGGGATTTCCTTTCTACCTTCATTGACAGCCATCTGCTGTCGTAGGGGAGGTATGCTTCCGGCCTCGGGGTAGGTTCGCTATCTAGGATCCATACCCAGTCTGAGACCTCCATGTTATCGTTGAAAACCCAGTCTGCGTATTGTACACCCGGTACATACCAAAAACCTTTTTGTCTGTGACCTCTTGCAGGTTAACTGTTCTGAGCGGTTTGGGTTTCGAGTTTTCCTTTGTTTTGGGGCAGTTGGGATCGGTACCCAGATGTCCTCTTTGCCTGCACTTGAAACAGAATGGGTTAGTCTTGCTGGATACTGCGATTCTGTTCACTTTTTCATCCTGCAGAAAAAAACACTCATCAGGTGTGTGCGGCATCGGGCTTTCCCTTATATCCAGGACCACCGTCATTTGATTATGTTGTGGCGTGACGAAGTCCGGTGTTGCTACAATCCAGTGCAGTTCCTTGAAATTTCCATATTCCATCTTTACTCTTTCTTTGACGCAGCCGTGCATTCCTTCCGGCACGTTGTGGAATTGAATCCAGAAGTGCTTTTTTATAAAGTCCTGTTTGTATTTGAAGGGTGTCTGCTGATAAGTTGTGGCCTTTTTCCATGGGTGCATTGTGACTACTGCTGAGTTGCAGGTAAAACAGTTGTTTGTCAAGAAAGTAGCCAGTGTCGCATCCATGCATAACACCATAATGACGTTTCTTGATCTCGGGTGGAAGGAGACTTTGGGATCCATCCCTTGGACTGGTTCCAAGCTTTTCAATTTCTCCCATATCCACTTCAATTTCGCCTGTCTGTCCAATTCCTGACTTTTTTTCGCGAAGGTGAAAAGGACGGCGTGCTTTTTGTGGTTGGAGGCTAATTCTTTGGGGCATTCGTATATCACGATCTCTTCCTTGTTGTTTCCCTCATGGTCAATAAGTTTGGTGGTTTTGATGAGAGGTGTTCTTGTCTGTTCCGCGAGCCAATTTTGCGTTCAATTCCCATGCCCTCCATCGTTGTGACTGATACTGGGGTCGGGCGTCGGTTGCTTGATACTTGTGCTGGTCTGCTGTGAGGGAACAGTTGAGTAAGTGTTCCAACGCGGAGAGCTTAGGCAGCGGGGCGAGTGAGGGAGTAGGGGCTTGGACGGTTGGTTGTGTCAAGAAGGTGATCATGAAGGTGAATGAGAGGTACACTTGATAGGAGAGAGCTAAAATTGAGGAAAGAGGGATTGGTTAGTGGGTGGGGGCGCTAGGGGGGGCAAGAGAATGGGTAGGTGGCTCGGAGGTGGGGGAAGGAGGGCCAGGAGGCTAAAACAGGATTGGTAAGTAGGGGAGAGATGGGTCAACAAAATTAAAGGGAGACGGGATGGGATTGGAGTGGGAAGGGATCGGGATAGGAGCGGGACGAGACCAGGATGGGGGTGGGATGGGAGCGAGATGAGGGCGGGGTAGGAGCGGAATGGGAGCGGGATAGGAGTGGGATAGGAGCGGGATAGGAGTGGGATGGGAGCGGGATGGGAGCGGGATAGGAGCAGGGAGGGAGTCAGGTGGGAGCAATATGGGAGCGGGCTGGGAACTGGATGGAAGCGGAGTGGGATCAGGACGAAGGCGGGCTACGATCGAGATGGGATCGGGATAGGAGCGTGGTAGGAGCGGGAAGGGAGCGGGGTGGGAGTGGTTTGAGAGCGGTATGGGAGCTGGATGGGAGTGACATGGGATTGGGAAGGAGGTGGGATAGGATGGGGACGGGAGCGTGGTGGGAGCAGAACGGGATCGGTATGGGATCGGGATGAAGGAGGATTTGATAAGGGTAGGATCGGGATGTGGGACTGGATCAGTGTGGGGTTGGGATGTGGGTGGGACAGGCTTGTGATGGGGCCGGGATGGGAGTGGTATTGGATCAGGGTGGGAGCGGGATGGGAGCGGGATGGGGGCTGCTTGGTGGGGGATGGGATCAAAATAGTAACGGGCTAGTATCGGGATGGGAGTGGGATGTGAGTTGGGTGGGATCGGGATGGAAATGGGATGGGAGCGGGATGAGAAAGGGGTAGGAACGGGATGGGATTGGGATGGGGGTGGGATAGGATCGGGGAGGGGACGGGATGGAGGTGGGAGGAGATCGGGATGGGAGTGGTCTGGGAGCTGGATGGTCGCGGGGTGGGAGCGGTATGAGAGCTGGATGGTAGCGGGGTGGGGGCGGGATGGGATCAGGACGGGAGCGGGACAGGAGTGGGGGGAAACAGGATGGGAGGGGGATGGGGACGGGATGGAGCTGGAGTGGTATGGAATCGGGGAGGTGCAGAGATGGGGACTTGGGCAGGACGGAATTGGGACTGGGAGGGGGTATGTTGGGATGGTATCGTTGTGGGGACGGGTTGGGCTTCGGGATCAGATGGGAATGTTTCAGACTTCAGGATCTGGGCTTCAGATTCGAGTGCGTAGTAAGGGAAGGGTGGGAGGGGGCGAAACGTAAGGAGAAGAAGAAGGGGAAGAGGAAAACGCGGAAGAAAAGAGAAGGAAACTAGAGGAGAAAAAAGGAAGAAGAAGAGGGAGAAGATGAAGAGAGGAAAAAGAAAGGAGGAGCAGAACGAGAAGAAGGGTGACGGAAAAATTAGTAGGAGAGCTGTCGTCGATTACTTATCCCCGCGGCGAAGATACCGACGATGACTGTAATGTCGCGACACGGCTGCAAGGATGATTAGCACAACAATGGTGGTTTGGCCCGACGGTGGTAAACGTGCTGATGACAGGGAAGCCGTAACCCAATGATGACGATCGCGGTAATCACTGAACTGGCCTCGCGCGGCGATAACGATCTCGATTATGAACAGACTCGACCGCAATGATGGCATTGATCGTTGTTGTCCCTTTCTTGTTTCGAATACACCCCCCTTCCTTTGTTTTCTTCACTACTCCTCTCTTCTGTCCTGTTCCTCCCTCTTCTTCGTGCGTCGTTTCTAGGTTCTTGCTCACCTTTGGTCGTATCCGATCTTTCCCTATTGCGACTTTTTCTTCTCCGTATCACTGTTTCTCCGTTTGAATCCTTCCTCTCCGAGAGTTTTCTGTCCCTTGCCCTTCTTAGCTTCTCTTGTCCTTGTTATCCTTTCCCTTCCTTGTCCCCCTTTTCCTCTCTTGTTGCCTGTGTGAAGGCTATCCTCTCCCCTATTCTTTTCACCCCTATGAGCTCGCCTCCCTTTCTCGCGTGCCTGCGCCACACCCTAGGGTGTGGCGTGACATGGCTGAAGGACGTTCTTCCTCCTCCTCCGTCTAGCCTTCTCTTTGTCTCTCCCTCCCTCCTTCTTCCCGTCATTTTTCTCCTCCTCGTTCTCCTCTCCTCCTTTCCTCCTCTTGCCCCTCCTCCCGTCTTTCTTCTGATCAGACCCCCTTTCCTTCCCTCTCCTCCCTCTCCTTCCTCTCCTCTCCCCCCCCCCCCCCCCCCCCCCCCCCCCCCTTCTGCCCTCAGAAGCCCCCTGTCCTCCACCAAATTCCTTTTGCAATGGTGGCCCCAGATTATCGCAGGATAATGCCAGGATTGTCATTCTGCCTTGCTTGCCATAACTACTTGTTTGTATATCGCGGAGAGAAATTAGGCACAGGACCAGTCATAACTGGACTGGAAAACGAGAGTACTCAGTATTGCATGCTGCTCACTGTTTATCCAAGCCTCAAAAGTTGATGAAACCAAAAAGGGCTTCCCAACATTGCATCAGTTCCCTGTACAGTGGCAACCCGGTAGCCAAACCTGGGCCACTAAGTATTCCAAGTTGATCCAGCCAGTACCCAAACCTGACCCACAATCGGCAGCAACTGCGATGCCAGTTTCTGCTTTAGTTATTATTCCTGACGATGTATGACTGCAGTTCATTCACTCTCTGTGTTTGAAACTGTTCTTTCTGCTGTCGCCGCCCCCCCCTCCTTCCACCCACCAAGGACTTCGGCTGTTTCAAGTTGCTTACTTATCTGGTCTTCCAGTGCTACTTGTGGATTCATGTTTGTGCAGTTGTGACCCTTTTCCTGTCATTCAGCTGGAAGCTGCTGGTGCTTTGTGTCGCGTCCTATACTCTAAGGATGTTCGGGATAACAGGAGGCTATCACCGACTGCTTTCACACAGGTGAGCGATCATCAGCCCAAGGAGGGAGAAAAGGGAGGTGGAGAAGAAGAATAGGCTGGGGTTTAGGTAGACTGGGAGGAATCCAGATTCCAGAGCAAAAAGTTTTCTTTTCTGCAAATTGGTTGATTCAATGATTCTTGAGCATTGAAGCTGTTCAAGTGCAGTTTTGTGGTGTCCCGCAAATCTGCGCTGAATGCTTTGAACAATTGTTACAATGGCATCAGTTGAACCAGGCTCTTGACTCAATGTATTTGGGCAGCTAGGTGGTGTGCTATTCAAGGAAGAAGACAGTACAGCTTGGAGTGAGCATAGGGGTTTAGATTCGGGGTTAACTTTGAGGTTTAGGGTTTAGGGTTATCTTTGTGTTTAGCGTCGTGTGGTGAGGGTTGTTTGTGAGGAGCACATTGTAGGGGTGGCGGGAAGGTGGAGAAAAGACGAGGGAAGGAAACCATGACAAGGATGAAAACCAGATCAAGAATTCGAGTGTGATGGAGATGAAGAGAAGGGGTGTAGACAGTCTGTCCCGGAAATGAATGTTAAGTCATGAATGTCTTTTGTTATGATCCTGCTCTTTGCAATTCAAAGTGGAATGAAACAAAAGAAAGAAGAAGAAGAAGAAGAAGAAGAAGAAGAAGAAGAAGAAGACAGATCAATGTCTCCTCCCCTTTTCTCTCCACCTTCTTCATCAATCCTCACATCATTCCTCGTCCTCGTCTTTGTGATAAAAAGTAATTACAACGAATGAATGAATGAACAAGAATCATTGTCCGAAAGATTCCCTTTCTTCCGCTGTAGAAAGATATCTGTTTTGGCCCTCCCTCCCTCTTCTCTCACCTCCTAGGAGCACTAATGGCTATGGCGAAGCATCCCTTTCATCCAGAGATGTGCAGAGGACAACAGAACTACTACTGTGTTTATCCCACCTCGTACCGCCATGTGTGCTTCACAGATGAGTCTGAGTCCAGCAGGCACCTCAACAGGGGCCTTCAGGTGGCCCAACTTCCAGGGTAGGTGAAGATGAAGGTCCACCATAGCCAAAGGTAAGCCCTTCTCTGGGTTCCCTCCTTTCTTCTCTCGCCTATGTCCTATCTTCATACCCACTGTGGGCATCAACTACTACTTGCTCCTTAGAAAGCTCTCCTCGTCCATATCCATGGATCTCTCCTTCATCACCGTCAACTCCTTGCTTACCCAGGATCTCCATCTCTTCCCCCTCTTGGGGAACAGCAGCACGTCTGCCGGATGAATGACCCGGACTACTGATTACATAGCATGATATACACTTTGCCTCATGACCTTCAGACCCTCTACCTGGGGGCTCTCAGCCTCCACCGGTGCAGTTGGGCCTACCAGTTCCCTGTCTTTTCGGCGGGAACATCCTACCTACAGATCATGTATCTAAACCTAAAAATGACCGGATCCAGCCCTGCCGCCATCATTACGTGCTTGCTACCCTACCGAATCCAGGGTCTTTCCGAGGCGCTATCCCTATCCGTCCCTAGCAAGTTCTCCTTCTGCTCCTGGCATTCCTATAATTCCTGGTAAGCCCTCCGGAGGTAAATGTCAGCTATGCTCCTGTAACTACATCTATCCGCTACCCTACACCTGCCCGGGCACAGAAACACAGCAAGGAACACAGACTTCGACTTAACCAGCACACAGACTCACATACATCATCAGAAGGACACATAGAATCAGAAAATCACTGGAAACTTAGACTCCGAAATCTCAGCAAACATATCAAAGATAGCAACTTTCTCATTCACCCTACCATTGCGGCTGCTGCTGAAAATATGCCGCCACAGACTGAAGAGCGAGTGCAACCCAACCCTACGGCTGACCCACAAGAAAGAGATCTGAGTAGTCGAGCTAAGTGCAGGGCTAATCATTTACCGTCCACTGTCTTCCCTTATTCTCCCCTAGCTTATTCCCTGCCACCACCAGCTTGTCACCGGCATCTTCTACTACATTACATTCTCCAGGCCTACTGTCTCTCCTTCCTTTTTTTTTTTTCTTTTTTTTTTTCTTTTCTTCAGAATGAACTTTACATTATGAACAACACACGCTTCCTTCCGTCTGGCCGAAGGACCCCAGAACAACATTGATGACTCCAGACCTCTGGAGGATTGACTGTCAGCTTGCCATGTTTCATTCTTCCCTGTCAGATCAAATCCCAGATCTGCCAGATCTATCCCTATCAACAAGAAAGAACTACTCCACTATCTTTCCAACGTTACAGACAAAAACTCCTATTGACCCTCTAACAGCGTAAGCCCTTCTTACAGAATTCTAGAACCCTAAACCCTTAAGCCGTTTCCAGCTAACTTAATCCCCTTTTTTAAAAAAACAAACAACCTTTTAAACCTTAAACCCCTTCTATTGACTGCCTTTCAACCCCCCTTCTCCATTTAAATACARGGTTAGTTCCCTGCATGGTTGCAACCGCTCCTTGCCCCAGGACCTTGGTATTGAATTTCTTTCTAATTTCCTCCTCCTGCCCCGGATTTTGCAGAATTTGGGCCCTGACCCTCTTCCATTGCGCACGTAAGTCTGTTTCAAGTAATGTCAAGAATATCTCCCTTGCCTCCTGTATGTGCATTGTACTTCCGCCAATAGTAATTTGGCATCTCTTCTTCCAAATAGTCCACAGGCTATATTGATGTATCAACTGGAACATAAGCTTCTCGAACGACAGCCACTGCCTCGGGATTTGGATCCCCAACAAAAGGGAAATTTTAGTACCTAACCATGGGACCTTCGAGATCTGACCCCAGATACTCCTGGCCTCATCCCAAATGATGACTGCTCCCGTACATTCCAACAGACAATGCTGCATTGATTCTGACACTCCACCCTGACACACTCTACACACCGCATTCGCTGGGTCCCTCCTCGTCAGACTCCTTTTCTCATTTAACAATTCATTCACCGGCAGAGCCACATGGGCTATTAGCCACTGCATGCGTCTGACTTTTCCCAAGCGGACCGCATTAATCGCCAGCCAAGGAAACTTAGACAGTTGTCCCGGTGGAATCCCCACCCTCTTTTCCCACCGCTTCAATAGTTGAGCCGTAAGAGAAAAGGATCTTCTTCTCAACCTATATCCGATCCGAGTGGTGTAATGCAGAATATTAATTCTCCTTTCTGATCCGGCAGTGCCACTTCTGATCTTCCATGCCCATTCCCCAGGGTCGACTTCCAAATCTTCCACCGGAGTAGTTGGACAGAAAACTGTGAATTCGTCTGTCTCAACTACTCTTACCTTAYGCAATTGACTTTTGAGAATGGTTATAGGCGCTTTGGAGTTCTTCTCAAGTAAAGAGGTGGTGCTCCCTTGATGCATGATGGTATATTTGTCTGCCTGAAGCCATTCCGGCCTTGCAGCCTCCTGATCCCATATCCTAAAGACTTCTCCTGGAACATTGTCATCTTCCCACGTGGCCCAGTCCCCTAGCCCCCACTGTGATTCCTTTCTCAGAATATCCCCCCACCTTTGTGGAATGGCTCTTAGGACTATTTCTAAGTTTTCTGACAGCCTGTGACAACCCCTTGGTTGCCCCCTTAGCTCTTTAGCTGTTTTCCACCTATTTTCCGAGCCTTCCCACAGGTGTTTAACCTGCCAGACCCCATGCTCTAGCCACTTACCCCATTTCGTGTCTTTAATTAAGAGGGTCAGTGCTTTCCCCTGCGCATCCCTAATACTTGAGTTACAAAATAATGACTGTCTCAAAACTTCTTCTCTTGTGTGAGGCTCACTGACCCTTGTCGGGAAGATTTCCTTCCAGAGTTTCATTAGTTGACCCCAATATGATGCCTTCCTTACTACCTCCTCATTACCACCCCTGTCATTAACTTCCCTAACCCCTTTCGCCCATGTGCTACACATGACCCAGAACTGGCCCGACATATTCGGTGGGGTTCTATACTTAGCCAATTTCCTAATCTGATAGAGCGCTAGGGACGTCCAAGGCAAGTTATGCTGGGCGATCAACTTAATTAATTACCCATTTGGTCTAGAGTGCTTTAAGTTGGTGATCTGGGTCTAAAAGCCCCAGTCCTCCCTGCTGCTTCGGTCTGGTAACATGCTTCCACGCCACCTTAGAAATGAAGTGTACAGACATTGCATTAGATGTCCATAAGTAGGCCGCTGCCCTTCTTCTCAGCATGTTAACGTAGTATTTGGCAGGGTCCAAATTGACCCTGCATACCAGATCATAGAAAAGATAGATGCATTTAATATGAGTGCCCTCCCGAATATAGAAGTGTAGACATTCGACCAAGCCCCTAGCTTACCCAGGATCTTGGACATTAGATCTGCTGCCTTGGAGTGATGTGTACCTGCTTCTGTAATCTTCACGCCTAGATATCTAATCGGGGCCTGTGGAGACGTCCATTGTAGACCTTCCGGGCATTCAACCGGGAGTTGCCCTTCTTGCCCTTGCTCACCCAACCACCAACCCTCCGTTTTCTGCCAGTTTATTTTCATTTCTGACGCCAATTGAAAAGCGTCCATTGCCCTTGTTAGTGCTTGAAATGATGAGTCTGATGCCCTAATGAGCACTGTTCGATCATCAGCAAACAAAAGGGTTGTGGGAAGCTGAACTGAGTGTCCTGTTGGTCCGGTTCCGCCACTAACCTTTAAATTGAAGGATCCTTCCACAATAAGGAAGCAACGGGCCTCCATTACGAACAGGAAGATCGGCGCCGCTAACGGGTCACCTTGCCTAACTGATCTCAACATTCTATAGGTTGCAGACAAATGACCATTAACTTGCACTTGGCCCTGCGCATTGTTGTATAAAAACCTTATCCATTTCCTAAAATTCGGACCTACCCTCATCTTTTCCATGCATTGCTGCAGAAAGGGCCAGCTGACCTGGTTATAGCCTTTTCAAAGTCGAAGAACATTATTGCAGCATTAATACGTTTATCTCTTATATACCTCACTGTCTCAGTCAGAGTCATGACATTGTCTAAGATGAACCTTCCGGGTATAAATC